TTGAGTCGGGCGGGAGCCTTCGCTGGGGGCGGCTGCAGGGGAGCCCGAAACGCCCTGGCCGGTGCGGCGTTCCCAGGGCCGCCGCTTGGCTTGCGGGGCAGCGTCGGAGCTGTTCCCAGGAGGTCCCCGGCTCCGTTTCGGAGCGCCGCACGGAAGCCTCGCACACACAGGAAAAGCCGGGTGGGATTTTTGGCAAAGCTTCCCGCAAAGGCTTCCCTTGGAGCGACCGCAGGTGCGTCGGGCTCCCACCAGCCCGGCTCACACGCGCGCCCTCCCGCAAGCTCCCATCGCGCGAGGTGGAAGCGGCAGGAAAGTTAATACCGAGCAGCGCGGGTAGGTTTTGCAAGGCGGTGACGGGGGGAAACGCTCCCCGCTTTTCCCCTCCGCAGCAGCAACCGGTGAATTTTTTGTCCTTATCTTCTCTGGCCAGACAATAGCAGTCGGGCTGAGAAACTTCTACCTCAAGCTGTGCATATTGTACAGGGGAATAAATGGAGCGTGTTTATATTAAACAGCTTATTTATGTATCACTCGTAGTATTTTATAAAAGAGGTGGGGGGGCAGCAAGCCTTCTCCTGTTTGTTTGTTGCCGTTAGAGATGAGTGGAGGGGGGGAAAAATCTCATCAGCAACCAAAATTTACTGCACATGTAAAAAGAAATGTCAACAAAGCTGGGTTTTTGCACAGTATTAAGAGCTGTAAGGTTTTCTGGAGATGTTACTTGCACACGCATATGCAGAACAAAGTAAAAATGAAACCGAGGTTTAAATAACATCCAACCTGAAAGTGACTTCTGTTTTTGTCTGATCCACTATAGTTTTATTGAGAGTGACTTTTTATATTATTTTATGAAGGTACTGTAAATATATCCGTATTATAAATTAAAATATCTTAAGGGACTTTTATTATTTTTATCTCCCAAGTGCCCACGTGAACCTGCTGTTATTTTAGCACTCGTGTGTCATTTCCATTTTCCTCCGTGTGTTTTATATCATATTTATACTCTGGTGCAATTTACTACTGTGTTAAGTAATTGGTCTATGTGCAATAAATACCATTGCAGCACAAGCGAGCGTGTCTCTATAGGTTTCCAAACAATACCTGTGTATAATGCGAAGAACACATTTGTTTTTCTCAAAAGATGGCTCAGTTTTCCAATACAGCTCTACCTAATGGCTTTTCCTGACACAGTGTTGTAAAAAAATGTGTTTGAAACCAAATAAGGTTGTGTTCCTGTTGCACTGAGGTCTGCCGACTTCGTTCAAATTAATGGCTAAAAATAAGGTGTTTCCAGTCTGATAATGAATATACTAATTTTCTGTAACTATTCTGTACAGGGATATATTCCTCTTTTTGTTAAGTGTATGAGACTGGGAGTCCGGAGGACACTGAAGTATTTAAGAGTACGGAGCCGCTTCGTGATGCTTAATTTGAAAGCTGAAAACTGTCTTGAGTAGAAAGATCCATCGTTTGTGGGTCACAAAGCTAATGATAATGTGAAGTTTTGAACTTTGCAGTTGCCAGTAGCCACCTATTCCTGGAGGGCCCCATCGTGATAAGTGAATGTTTAATAGAGCTGGTGCCTCCGTGGACGGGACCGAGCTGGGAGGTGTGTGAACAGGCTGGCGGATTTGGGTTCTTAGAGCGCACCTTGGCTAAAACCAAAGGCTGGCGTGTGAACAAGCCCGGCTTCCTTTCTTGCTTTACGAAGGCACACTGGATTTTTGTAGTTTCATAAAATATTGCTGCAATGAATACAAGGCAGGTAGAGCAACCAAAAGAAAGTGGTAGACCTTGTAAAACACCTCCTAGTATCACTGCAGAATAAAAGTGAGGTCGCTTTTTAGCTTTATTACACTCAGAGGTATAGCTAAATTAGAAGTTAGCTCCTAGGAAGAATATTTCTCAAAGTGAGTTGCAAGTGGGGAGTAGCCATAGGTTCATTTTGAAAAGCATCTGCTTATTTTTGTTTGCTTGTTTTAAAAAGCAATGATTTTGCTTTTAGCAGTTTTCAATACTTTTTATGCAAGGACAAAATAAGGGATATTATTCTATTACTTCAGTTGGGGCTAGGATGTGGGCTGCAGTTGATAGTTTCCCACTGGTTGAACAGGCTCTTCGAAGCGCCAAGCTGAAGTCAGATCAGTTCCTAAATCAAGTATGTTCTGGCACCTTAGGAAGGATTTTATCCCAGGACCCGGTTTGCTGTGTGATTCCAGCCACGTCAACGGGACCATAAGGCTGACGCCAGGCGACGGCGCGGGAGGGCTGGTTGCACGAATCGCCTCAGGAAGGACGCGGACGGCAGCCGGGGAGGCCAAGGGCTTTCCCGCGTGTGCCTGGGCTGCAGAGAGCCAGCGCAGCCCGGGAGCTGCAGTGACGGAGCCCGAGGCCACTGCGGTCACTAACAACCGCACCGGTGTCGCGCTGCGGGGTCTGTCTGAGGGACTCCGATCTTAATCTCATAAACTGTCTCCCAGACTTAATCTTAACCCTCTGCATGTTCACACTGGAGTCATTGAGCACTCACTCATGTCCCTGGACTTAACAGGTGAGGAAATTCTTGGCTCAGCAGGGACCCTGGAGGGGAAATTGAGGGCCAGAACTTGCTCAGCTTACCCAGTCGAGTAACTGCACGGGGCCGTGCTTCTCCTCGCTGGGCGTAATGCCATTGAAACAAGGAGGATGAAGGTAGGGTGAATTCTGCTCGCTGGCCTCAGCAGGACCAGCCGTGTGTGTGAACTCAGGACCTGGCTGCCGTTGGGTTTGGGCCAGCTGAGGAGCCGACAGGGAAGCGTGGAGGTTGGCCTGTCTAACCCCGTGGTGGACAGCCGAGACGGCCCGTGCGGTGGCTGCCTGTGTGTCTCGTAGGGGGGCACAGCAGCCCTGCAGATGAAGCAGGACATATGGCACACATGTGTGTGAGCGAGGAGGGTATTGGCGAGCCGTCCCCCCCGGATCCTGCTCAGAACAGGCTGTTCTGAGCAGCAAAGAAGTATATGCTGAAAAGAGTTACAGGCAGCCGAAGTGCTCGGGAGGCTGTGAGTCAAGCATTCAGGAAGAATATTTTTTTTGAAGAAAACCAGACGTGGATTAACAATTGGAGCTGCGAGTCAGAAAGTATAGGTGGGAGACATGCAGCTACACACGTACGTGCACGGAGTGTTACAGCAAAGAGCCGCAGACCTGCAGGGAAGGGAGAAACAGGTAAAACAGAAATCGGGTACGAGAAAATGTCCCGTGTGTGTCAGGACGGAAGCTGGCAGGGCTCCCTCAGACCGGCCCGTGTAAGAGGCTCTCAAAGGCGCCCGTCGCTCTCTGAGCAGCAGTGACCCAGCGCGTGTGGGAAGAAGGCTGCCTTTCTCCACGTGTTTGAATGTATCGGGTGGAAAACATGACTTCATTTCTTGTGCATTCAGCAGGGATAGATGTTTTAGAAGCCTAAATACAACATATAGATAATAAATAGATAATAAAATTAAAATAGATAATCTAGATAAAATAGATAATAGATAATAGATAATAAAATTAAAAATACCTGCACATCACTGAGAGTTAAGCACAAAGCTCTTGAAAATTCCTATTATTTTGACTGTGACCCTAGTCACAAATAGTGCAGATTTTTACCAAACAAAAACTGAATAAATATTCTACAATGACTGTAACTAATCAAATTGTGTGCAATAAGGATGGCTTTAAATTATTATAGGTAGATCTAAACTTGTGCCCATCGTGCACACAGAATTTGTCGGCATCGATCATTCATTTGCAAAGGCATCTTGCACTGTCCCTTTTGCAAGCAGCTGCCTTCCCATGTGGCTATGTCTGTATTTTCAAGTATAAAGACAACTTCTTTGTCAGCTTTTTTTTTCCTAAACCCTATCTGAAGTTGACATTTTATTAATAACTTCTAAGTGGCTATTTTGCAAACCTTCCTTGTGCTGCACACTTTCCTAGTTTATTGTAATTTCCTGTCCAGTGGACTGCACTTACTTCCTTTATGTAATATATCAATTGCAGGGCTGGAAACTGTGCAGCTATGAACTACAAGAGCAGACTTTCTTGAGGCCAAATGTGGTCACAAATTGCCACTGGTAGCAGAATTTGACCTGATAATCTAATGTCTTGTGAGCGAGTATCTCCAGAAGAGTCTACTGTCACCAGCAGTAACTGACCTCTGCTAATGAAGCCGGTGCAATTAGTCCTACTCAAATCTGTCAGGAAAATGTTAACTGCTAAACAACAGTTAATGCTGGATAACTCAAAGGACGAGTGTTTTGTTTGCTGATCTGCGTTAGGTGATATGTTGGGAAATAATTACCCTTTGACTAGCAGCCAGCTTTGTACTAATCAGAAAGGAGAAGTCATGTTCTGTTTGAAGGATTATACCTAAAAATAGTTCTGCTACAGCCACATCAACGGGTGAAACGAAGCAAATTCAGCGAGACATCCACACCTTCTTAGTACTTCACTTCTAGTCCTAAAAGCTCGTTGTTTGGCTGAAACTTTCTGTTTGATCATGTCAGAAGTACTAATGTGATCTCCTGGAATAATGCTATGCACGCCCTCCCCGAGGATCATTACCGTATGCACCACTGACTTGCTTTCAGAGTCTGCCAAACTCAGAAGGGCCTAAGGAGGAAGCACATAGTCTTTTTCTGTAGGTAAACAGCCACATATAATGGCAGATCAACAACAGAATTGTTGCTAGAATTGTACCACCGAAGAGACCAATTTGTTTTCTACTTTCCTTAAAGGTGTTCTTTCTGCCCGTCCATCGGAAGGGAAAAGCCATGGGAGTAGCAAGTGGTTTGCTCATGCAATTCAGTCACTTCAGGCTGTCAAACTGCGTTAGGAAAAGTAACTGAGATGGGAAAAAAGATCCAAAAGGTGATGCTGGGAACTTGGAGCTCTCCTTGCAATCAGCACTAACAGAGGCATCTTCGCTGTACTGTATAAGTTGCCTCTAACTGGAAGAGTCTAACTAGTTGCGATAGGGATGCACCAGGTGGATGGACTATAGAAAAACACAGATTTAGAGGAGCAGGGGGCATCTTTCCCCACAGGGCTGTCACCGCGGGCCTGGCAGCGGCACACGCAGGTCCCCTCGGCAGCCATCCAGGCCCTGCAGTCGCTGCGCGCTGTCTCCGTTGAGCCTGCAGGTTATACACGGCCCGCAGCACCCTGCTGCGGGTGGTCACAGCTGCCCATAGCACCCCTGACTCGCCAGGTTTACCTGGTGCCCCAGTGGGCAGCCCCGGCTGCTCTGCCGGTGCAGGTTCATGCTCCAAGTTACGCAGCGCTCAGGTATGTTACATAAACGCGTGATAAACTTCCTGGTTCGCATTCACCGATGCCTCCGTGCACACATCCACCACGGCCTGCATGGTGTTTGGCCTGGGGCTTTTCGGTGGTGGTGTTCGCTTGCCCCAGAGCTCAGGTTGGCAGCCAGGCCCAAGCAGCAGCCTGGATCCAAACGCTGCCGAAGGCACAGGAGAGCTCAGCTCCTCAGGTTTGGGTCACTCCGAGCAGGTCTAGTGCTCGACTTACTTACCCACACTAGCTGCCCTGCAGCGGGAAAGCACCAAACCAGTAGCAAATGTTTCCCGACCTCAGCCAGTGACCTGAAAGAGAAAGCAGCAGCTCTGCTAGGCTTCTGCCCTTGCCATGGGTAGCAGTGCATTTCACACATGCTCCAAGCACGACTTCTCTCCTTTGGGTCCTACTTGATACACCCAGTCCTGCTGTCCCTAGCGAGACGAGGATTTTCTGGCACCTTGGTGCTCCTGCCTTTAGCTGATGACCAGCAGCAAGGCACCTTCGCATGCCTAAGCCCAAGCCTTTCTGCAAGCCACGACCTCAGGACTGCTGACCAAAGTCATTCTGATAATAGTTCTTCAGTTAGCCGGGACAGGGCTTTTAAAGGTGTATTTACGTGAGCATAGCAAGAGGCACTCTGAGCCGCTAAGGAGCTCAGCGACTAATGGGTGTATAAATATTTCAGCTGCCGAACACGTCATTTTTCAGGGTAACGTGAGTGTTGCAGCCCCTCCAAAGCCTCTGGCCGCGCTTCCTCCGAGGAGCGCTGCAGAGGGGCTTGTGCCTGAGAGGGGCAAAGGTGGCGGCGCAGCAGAACAGCGCGGGACAAAAGATCTGCTAAGTGGCCAAAATTTGAGTGCTTTGCAGTCAAAATTTTAAAGTGCTTCTTTTTTAAGAAGAGGCAACACAGACAAGCAGATTTTCCTCCAAGGAAATGGAGAACAAATTTGGGGATGAAATTTTCCAAGTACCCGTGAAAAGGCTATTTTCGCCCCTTGCTGAGTGATCAGTGAGAGGCAGAGCAATGTCCCCAGTGAGAGTTGAGCACTGTCCCCAGCACAGGGCAGCCCTCAGTCGCCTCGGGGGACGCGTGGCATCCGTCAGTGCCACTCTGCTGCGGAGCACATGGTGCCCTCAGATGCCCTCCTGCATCCTCTTTTTTGGAGCGTAACACGCTCTTCAGCGCCGCTGCCGCCGGCCGCGCTGCCCCAGGCCCACACGGGCCTCGGCGAGACCTGCCCTGGGGCACGGAGACCCCTGCAGAGCCCTCCCGCCCACGCGTCCCTGTGGAGGGGAGCTCCTGCCCTGGGCCATTCCTGTCCCCCCCGGCTGCCACGGGGCCAGCGCGGATCCCTGCAGCCGTGGCACAGGCACTGGGGAAAGACTTTTCCCTCTGCTTCATCCTTGCAGCTCCTCAGACCCCGGGATCAACGTTTCCTCAGCCTGCCGGGAGAGTCCGTGTGGCAGCTTGGCCACGCTGTCACAGGGACGTGGGAAGAGCAAAGCCAGGCTTGGAGCGTCTCTGGGCCTTTCCTGGCCTCGGAGCTCGCTTCCTGCACGTGCCCGCCGTCCCAGGGCTCCTGCACAGCCTCCTCTCAGGCCTTTCCTCACAGTGCTGCTCCAGGTGGAGGCGTCACCTGCTCCTGAAGCTGCGTCCCTCCTTCTGGGTTAATGAAGCCACCATTGTGCTCTGGAGGGAGGAGCGCTTCCTCTTGGACGGGAGCAGGTAAATTGGGAGACGTCCCACAAAGCTCCCATTGTTCCATAGCTAAATCACTGTCTGCGGCCCCGGCTTTCAGGGAGGGATGTTTTGTTTGTCTGCTCTTCCCCTAGCTATTCGCTTGGGAGCCTTCAAATGGAGTCTCGGTTAGATTGCTTACGCCACTGCCTCTGACAGCACCAGTGTGGGGTTTGTCATCACGCCACTGCCCCTGACACCACCAGCGCGGCTCCTGCCCCACGCCAGGGCAAAACCGCTGCTTTCTGCAGTCACAGACAGGGTAAGAGTAGCTCACAGGAGAGGAGGCAGGCCAAAAAAAAAGTGCACTAAAGCACTCTCACCACCAACAGAGGCCAATGTGATTATGTAAAATAATCAGGCTTTTCGGAGCTTTTATGTAACGTTCAGAGCAAGGCTGCTG